AAAGCTCTCAGAGTGGGACTTGTTTATCATTTGACTACGTATTCATAAAAATTGGAGGGTTCTTCAAATTTGACTATGTATTGATCCACTATTGTATCACCATATTTATATAAGTTAATGTAAATTTTGCTTCCTTTTCCCACAAATTATCTGTCTCCCCCATTTTTATTTTTATTTTGGTAACATCTGCCTTCACCATTTACTTATAGATGGAAACATATTCTCAAGTCACTCCCTACTGTCAAACAGTCATCATAACACCATGTCTTATGTGATTATCATGTTATAATGTGGCGCTAACTTGTGAATCAAACTTTTGATTTTATAAGTGAAGTTAATTTTCAATTTGGCCCATGCACCCAAAAAAAAAAAAAAAAAAAGCTTTCAAGTTGATTCCTATATATAAAATTGTTCTCAGTCCGCTCCCTATCGTCTATAGCTCATATTAATTTCCAACCGTTAAGCCTAAGTATTTGTTCAATTCATGTGTTTATCAAGTATTATTTTGCTAGTTTAACGAGGAGTTGTTCGGCTTTAAGGATGGGCACAATCTAGAAGGTTTTTTTTATATAAAAAATATTATTACTAATACTGTTATTTGGTCAAGAGGAAAAAAATTACAAGAGATTAAGAAAGTACAACCAGTAATCCCTTTTAAATTTACATGTAAATAGTAAATAGTAATAACTAATATTAATTAATTCCACTAACATGTCAATTCTTGAAAACATTTATTTATGTGGATAATTTATATATTTCCTATATATTGAATTTATATATATATGTATATATTATATATATAAACTTCATCATGAGATGGTTCACTCTTTTTAGCCCCATTGATTTTTTCTCTCTGAAAAATAGTCGGACCAAACTCATTAAGAATATAAGTTAACAGGTTCTAACATGTTAAATTATATTTATTTAGCATATATGAATATGGTCCAACTTTAACAATTTAAGGAATGAAAATATGTTGCGCAATAATGTTATATGTTGAGTTTTAAAATTTATTTCTTCTTATCTTTCCCTATTCTAAACCGCGAATTATCCCTAGAAAATTAGAAATTACAATCCACGTCAAATTTCATACAAAATTAAGGGAAGAAGAATACCAGCATACAAAATATTAACTAAGACAAAAGAGGCCTTAATTGCATGATATATACACCATCTTGCTTGCATGTTCTTTAAAATAATGACCACACGGAAGGAGATTTCGGTGGCCACACGAGTCTCTATTCTATTAATTCATTAAGAAACAATTCCTCTAATTAGATCAAAAAGTAATAATGAATTAAAAAAGGAAAAAGGCATTCCATTGGGAATTTCCATATCTCTTAGAGTGTGTTTGGTACAAGATATATTTTTTTTTGTTCGAGAATCATGATTTCCAGTAATACAATGAGAAATCCAGTTTATCGGGAATGGTATAAAAAAGTTGTTTGGTAGAAGTAAATATTACTGGGAATATTTAATAATTTTACTGAGTATATGTTTGGTTGATAGTAAAATATTACTGGTAATATATGATGATTTTACAAAAGTAACCTTAACTTTTCAAAACATGATTCTTAACGGCATTTTGTATAAGGGGGTATTTTTGTCTCACATTTTCTTTTGTTGCTTTCCCTTTAGTTGGATTCACAAAAACCATATAATTTGTGGTAATCTGAAATCTTTGTTTTCTTTGTAAATCAGATTACTAGTAAATGGAGATTACCGGTCAATTGATTTTGTTAACTTAAACCAAACATGGCAATTCACGTTTACCAATGTAACTTTACCAATAATCTTCAGAAATATTCCATACCAAAAACATCATTAAGACCAATTCTGCAGTCTCTCACCGTATGCAAGCAGTCTTCCTCTTGGTGTTGGCATCTAGGACATAAGTTATCATTTGACATGTGTCTTTGGCATCTTCTACTATTAGTAAGCAGGCTTTCACCCATCAAGAACCAAAGATAAGTTCTAATCCATTGGGGTGGGGCCCTCCCACTTCCAAGTTAAATTCCAATCTTGTTTGAGGGAAAATCTAATATACTACGAGAGTAGGTACATCCGACGAATATGAATGCACCATGTCAGCTATAACTAACCTAGAAAAAGAAAAAAAAAATAACTTTTATACTTTACATTATGTACTACAGATAGTACATAGTGTAAAGTTGATGTACCCAATTTTTGGTGCCACCATACCCAAGATGCGCTCTTTGTTGGGAGGGTTGGCCTCGAGGGTATGTGATTGCTTCTTAGGCAGATTTACAGTGAAAACTCCATCACTTGTCTTTCTCCAAATAACTCTATCGTCACCACAAGAAACATTTGGGGTGAGTTGCTACTGCCAATTCCATCACTGCTTTCTGAGATAAAATAACATCCAAGATTCCCCGTTTTCAAGCACCCTCCTGGCTAACTGTATCAGTCACCTTCCATATTAACAAGTCTTTTGGGATATCTTGAATTTTATGATCCATTAAGGGGCCTATTCCTATTAGACAAGGATCAAACCAGAAACAAGTTTGAGTTCCACCCCGAATCAAAATTCTAGAATTCTACTTAATGGTTGTTTAGGATTGTGACAGTCCCCTCCAGAGGTTTGAAGAGACTTTAGGGACTTTAATATTCGGTAGAAGCTTATCCTCCACTCCATATTTATTTTCAGAAAAAATCGATTTCCACATCCCTTGCTTAAAGGTTGTCATGATCAAATGACCAAGTCTTTCCATATAGAGATCAAATAAATATGGGAAGAGGGGTCACCTTGTCTAGTGCCCTTGAAGGCTTAAAGTCTTCAGTCTTGGATCCATTCCAAAGAATGTTCATAGTGGTTGTGCTCACACACTGAATTATAACACATGAGGTTTTGGGGTAAGTGTAGTTCTTGAAGTGTCTCCAATAGAAACTTCGAATCAATTATATCATAAGCTTTCTCAAGGTCAACCTTGATAGCCATCCAATCCTTCTCTCCTTTTTTTGTTTTCATAGAGTGGATAATCTTTTGGGCAATGATAACATTTTCCAAACTATGTCTTCCTCATAAAAAAACTTGAAATGACCAATGACCAATGTTTTCCTTCTCCAAAATGACATGTTTTATGTCCTTAGTATCAAACTTGAAACCCATTAGATTAGAAAATGTGGGAAAAGAGAGTGCATTCACTTCACATATACTCAACTACGTTTTCAAATGCAAATGCAATATCACAACAAAACCCCTCCTATACGCTTCCTAGTTAAGTCTGAAGGAGAGAGCACTTAACTCCTCTATCTGTCGCAGCTTCAACTTCGTCTATCCTTTGTGTTACAATTCGAACTGGGCGAGGAGGGATTCGAACCCCCGACACCGTGGTTCATAGCCACGTGCTTTAATCCTCTGAGCTACAGGCCCCACCCCGTCTCCACTGGATCTGTTCCCCGGAGTACCCTAAAAAAGGAAAACATTTCCTCTCCCCAGCCATTTCATTTCGGCTTAAACGAACTCACAAAAGCAGAAAACATAAAGAACAACACCAGAAATTTATACTTGGTTCAGAAATTCTTTGTAAAAGAATTTCCTACATCCAAGTTGGCCAGTGAGGGTCAAACGCCCTCTAGCATGCACTAATATTCAGAATAGAAATAGGTACAAAAATGTTTAGCAATTTACATATACCAGCAGCTAACACAGCATACACTAAACATGTAAAATCAGCACCTACTCACAATTACAGAGAAATACCAAATCTGGAGAAGAGCACCACAATTACAAATGATTTATTTCAAGAAACGAAAAATATCAGAAAAAGAAATGAAGACAAGATAACACCGTTCTCAAGCAAGCACCAATAACACCAGCACCTCAGCTACACGGTTTCACCAGCTCTACATCAGTCAACGAGCTCACCATCTTGAATCATCTTCAATTTCTGATAACCGTATCTTCCAGAAATAAACTAATTAAAGGATGTGCCACACCACAAGGAACAAATCTCTCCAAACAACTGAGGTGAGATTCTCAGTATATCTCACTCAAAATCCCTCTCAAAATGCTCGACAAAACCCTAAGGGGGCGTTTGGTGCAGGAGAAATTTTTATTTGTCCGGAAATCTCGATTTTCAAAAATATGATTTTTACATTCAGTTTACGATAATATCTGAAAATTTAAAATTTTAATAATTTCAGTTTCTCATGAATCTAAAAATTTAAGTATTTCTTTCTTTCAAAGAACCCAATTGAACCAGAGAGAGAGAGAAAGCAATCTGAAAGCTTATTTGCAAAACAGAATTCTACCACGTATTTTAAAGTCACTCATTTTGAGTTTTTTATCACAGCAGTAAAACACAACGTATTGACTTAGGTTGCAAATAACTAACATATGAAAGTAATACTTTTTGGGCCTCACTAATAAAACATAAGCTTCAGCCCACAAACAAAATGAAATGCAAATATGGAGCAAATGACATAAGTATATAGATAGCTGCAAGTTTAGGAAATATCCACAACACTTTGCTTTGGACCTCTCTCATTCCCCCATTTACAGCTTCAAGTTAACAAAATTTCACCTCCTTCGAGCTAGATTTTTTGGCTCAAATGTGAGAAGAACGTAGTAATGCCGTTGCATACGCAGAAAAAGAAAAAAAAGGTGAGTCTCTATATGCCATGAAATTTTAATCTCTTGGGACTGCATGTCTGAATTTTCAACTTTATTGGGATTATATAACCGAAATATAGGATAAGAGTGTCCTGATTACTTCTCCTTCCTTGAATGTTCTGTTTTGTAATCAAGACACGAAATATAGGAAATGTAACTCTCCTGTTGCTAAAGGAAAAAAAACTCTCCTACACATTGATCATAAAACTTTTCAATAGTCACAGTATATCAAAATTAATCTTTTTCTTTATTTTTTTCAATCACCTAAACAAAATCTAATAAAATGCATGCATCGACAATACCCTTCGGCCACTTGACTGCTCAGACACAATGCAAATTCTATACTGCAATAACGAAATAGTAATCATCAGCAATAAAAATCTTGCTTAAAAGGAACATTAAGAAGTGCTACAGGAAGGACTATTGCATCAAAGAGTCAACAAAAAGCAATAGCCTATCAAGCTTTTTTATACTCAACATATGAAGCTTAATAACATGTTCTAGAATTAGTTAACTGGGAAATGATGCTTTTACAATTTGGACTAGGCTAGATGACAATAAGAGAATGCTCTGAACAAACTAAGAAAGCATTTTAAAGATCCTCGGCATCTGGTTGGCGGTTAATCATGTGAGACAGCACAAACTTAGAGAGTTCACTTATTGCAGCTTGAACCTCATAATCACCTGATTCCCTGTTCCCTGTCCATCTTGGTGTCCCTGTGCTTGATCCACTGTATTCACTTGCAGCAATCTTTGTCTTCCGTGAAGTGGCAAAGGCCCTCTCCAAATCTGACTGTGACAATGGTCTAGGTGCCTGAAACGTGAAAATTAGACATTATCAGTTATCCATCTATCAATTACTTACATTACAAAAAAGTAATGGAGACAAAATATTAAGAATTGAGTACTAGTAAAGAAAGAATGCATTGCAGCTTCTAATACCATATCCTCAGAATATTTTTCAAAAGCAGAAAGTCAACAAAACCTATAAAAAAAAAGACTTGATATATGACAAGCAGAAGCAACAGTCATTTCTTCTGATATCAATTGATTTGCACAATTAAGTAATTGCTTTCATTGACCAGATACGCTGTCCATGCATGCAAATATAACTCCAGCCTCCGGCTCATGAAATAGTTTTAAAATAGACATGCTATAAATTGATTGGCTCTCTAGTTAAAAGGACTTAACATTGATATGAATATACATCTGGGACAAGTCAGCTCAGCTCTACAATTACATATGATACTATCAACCATTATCGAAATGAAAAACATTAAGCTAAAGGAGAATCATGAATCACTCACATAAGATCTTTTCCCTTTCTCCTCTTCATCCAGCAGTTCTCTAACTGGAAAATAGGCAGCCTTCTTGCAGAGATCATATAGATCTGAACCAGTGTAACCCTCACATAGGCCAGCTATATGGTTACAGTCAATGTTTTCTTCAACCCTCTCGCCCTTCAATATAACCTTCAATATGTCAGCCCTCTCCCTTTGGTCTGGAATTCCGATTTCAAAGGCTTGAGGAAGACGCCGAAGTATTGCTTCATCAAGTTCTGAAGGACGATTAGTTGCTGCAAGTACCATAACTTGGGCATTCTCTATACACACATACACAGTAAAACAGTAAAAATAAAAAAGTCATCATAATTAAAAACCTTACCAAAGTATAGATGATTTAAGAATACTAGAGAAGCTGCATCAACTGACATTATCCTATTTGCAACATATTTTAAATATTTACTCCTCTAAAGAAAATTACTTAACATGCTTAAAACTTACGATCTGTAGTGAATCCATCCCATAAAGCCATAAACTCAGTTTTCATGTTTAACAAAGCCTCATGATCTGTTGTACGACGTTGACCCAAAAAACTGTCAACTTCATCAATGAATATGATAGAAGGCTGGAGCTTATCAGCTAGGCTGAAAACGGCAGCCACTGCAACAGAACAGCAGAATTTTAATGGTTATCCAAATTCCAAACCAAAGATTTTAGAGAATAATACAGGAAATAGTCAAGAAGCCATTGTGTTTTAGGCGTGATGAGAAGTATAAACCCAATCATGTATCCAAGGACAAACAGTTTCAGGGATCAGAGGAAGGAGAGAGTGATGGATGGCTTGCTATAGCCTATATGATCCTAGGTGAAGGATAATTTTCTTGTATCTCGCCTTGAGGACATGATGAAACTTTTAGCGGTAGTATTGTTAGTAGCAGGCCCCCCAATTAGGAAGGTGAATGTGAGAAGAAATAATGATGGACCAGGCCCTGTTAGTAATAGTAGTTACAGTTAATTGATATTATTAGATATATTAGATAGAGTTACATGATATTAATTGTTATTGTTCAACACAATAGTTAGAATTACCTGATTTTGGAGGATATTACTCTAAACAATCAGTAGTTAGTTCCCATATAAGGAAAAACAGGGCAGAGATGAGAGATTATTATTGAGTGAAGACAGTTGAGGGTGTGGGAGAGACCAGGGGTGTGACCATTCTTTCTCTTCCTAACCTTGGGTTCTCCATTAATCCAGGGGTAAGTAAAGGAGATCATCATATCAACAAAAAAGAAAAAAATCTCATCTTTTTCCTTGGTTATTCCCCAATCTCCGGTCCAATCCTACCACTATTCAAGTCAATTTTGATCACAATAAGAACAATTAAGTTTCAACTGATATGCAACAAAACAGAAAAGAAAATATGTCCAGCGGTTTCAATATATAATAGTATACAAGACAAGGTTTTATAGGAAAAAAAATCACTCCCCATTAAACCCGACTAGCGAGTGTGGGGTGGAGGTAATCCTTGTACGCAGCCTTACCATTGCATAATTGCAAAGAGACTATTTCCTGTTTCCTGGATTCGAATCCATGACCTTTCAGTCATGAAAAAACAGCTTTACCAATGTTCCGATTCATCCCCTTTTAAGACAAGGTTTTACAGAGATGCAAAATAGTAATAATAAGGGATGATCTAACAGAAACACAATGTGTACATACATACATACCAAGCTTCTGGGCATCACCAAACCACTTGCTCATGAGGTTTGATATCTTGACATTAATAAAAACAGCACCACACTCTTTAGCAATAGCTTTGGCAAGCATGGTCTTGCCAGTACCAGGTGGTCCATACAACAGAATCCCCTTTTGTGGTCCAAGAAGCTTTCCATGAGAAAACAACTCTGGTCTTTTCAGAGGCAAAATCACAAGCTCAATCAAAGCTTGCTTTATTCTTTCAAGTCCCCCAATAGAGTTAAACTCAACATCAATGTCATCAGGATTAATAACATCACAGGCTATCACATCCTGAACAAGATAATTAAAATTATAAATAATAATAATAATAATTAAGGGTACAAATTTGAAATAATAACAACTAAGGTCCCTCCATTTTAGAGAAATTATTAAATAAAAAAGAAAACGTTACCTCGTAAGGGTTTGTTTGAAGGAGGGGACGACCGAGGCGTTTGGATATATCCTTTTTGTGCTGAAGGGCTTTCTTTGATGCCTCGCGGTTCGGGTCAAGTTGTCGGAGCCCCACGAACAACACCAAGCAACTCAGTGCTGTGCTAGCCGCGTACAGAACCAAGTCTTTGAGCAACTTCGACTCCGATAGACGACCACCCATTTTTTTAACCTTTCCTTCTTACAACTCAATAGTGATGATGCCAATGCTTGACGCCGACGAAAACGCTGATGAATGTTCTAAACTAAAACCTGAGCCTCTGTTATCAAAAAAAAAAAAAAAAACCTGAGCCTCACACCATACGAAGACGGTGAAAATATATTTTTTTATTGTTATATATGATATTCAATATTAACTTCATTCATTTACATAGGAGTTTTTAATTTCGTTATAATTATAGGTGTTAGTGCTTGCTTTAGAAAAAATTATTAAGCGATTTTGAATAATAAAGTAAAGAATTAAATCACCAAAAGAATTGGGAGTTTAATTAATCAAAAAAGAATATTCAAGAACGTATGTATGAATGTTGATTGCATGAAAGGGTAGAATTAGAACTGTTAAGAAAATATTAGAAAAATTGTATCCCTGGTTACACTTGTCTTTAATCGATTTTAACAGTTCTTGATTGTGTTCTTGCGTTCTTAATTATTGTTCTTGGTTCTTAATTTTGAAAACTAAAAATATTAATTTTAAAAATCTACTTTTATAATTTAAACCATATTTTCAAGAAAATACTTTGTCGATGGATCCAATTTTGATCGCGTAGATAAATTTATGTTAGGTACATTAATTCTCTTGGAACCGAAAATATCACTTTTTTACATTATATTACTTATACAACTGGTGCAATTATTGAAGTCACGATCAATTTTTTGGCCATCTTACATAAGAAAGTGTTGCCTCATGCCAAAATATGAACCATAATTTTTTCTTTTTTTTATGTTGTAGGGCCTGTGAAATTATGTATCCACAGGGATGGTGCTTTCTCCTCTAAGAGGAGAAAATCATTTCCTGTTTGGTCTTCATATATTAATTATTTGATAAAGGTTATACTTACAACTTATTTTTATTTACAATCTTTTATAACTATATTTTAATCGTTGATTTTCGTCAATCAACAGTTATTATTTTCAAAAATCAAACTCATTAATTAATTATTAATTAACAATAAATGATAACAGTGGATTGACGGAGATCAACTGTTAAGATATGATTGTAAGAGTTTATAAACGAAAATAGATTGTAAGTATAATCTTCCTCTAATCATTTTATGGATTTGCACCACTAGGAATAGCCTAGTGGTGTTGGGTGTGTTTAGTGTGTATTAGGTGTGCGGTTCGATTCCCTGTAATGTCTAAAAAAATTATTTTATGGATTTATTATGGGATTATAGTTACTACCATTATTTATTATGAAAAATGTTATAGTTACTATCATTTTAACCTTACTACTCTCACTATATAATTAGTTACGGATTAATTTGAAATCCGATAATTAATTTTTTATTTTATTTTTTAACCGTTGATTTCAAATTGATCCAACCGTAATCAATCAAGTAGTAAGAATAGTAAAGCTAAAATAATAGTAAGTATAACCCCCTTCATTTATTATTATTATTATATTGACAGAATTATATGAAATTATGAAGATGATATACTTATTACTATTTTTTCTTATCACTTCTTATTACCAACTTTTTTATTGTTGGATCAAAATTAAATCAATGGCCGATGAAGGTTATACTTATTATCATTTTAGTCTGTTTGGTTACCATCAGATCAATTTGAAATAAATTGCAATTAAATTTCTTCTTTTTTCATCCGTTGATTTCAAGTTGATCCAACGGTAACCAAACAAGTAGTAAAAGTAATAAAATTAAAATAGTAGTAAGTATAACCGTGATCAGTAAAGAATGTCTTATTTTAATATGACTATGTAAGAAGAAAAAAAATCATTTTTTTACAAAAAAATTTAGATGGAATTATACACCAATATTCTACTCGGACTAGGTGGCTTCAAACGCACGCTGTTGCGGGATATGAGCCTAATTCTTACCTAATTGTGTTATTCTCGTTGGAATTTTTTTTTATTATTAATTAAATATTTCATTTTCCATTAAAAATATGCACAAGTCTATAAATTAAAAAATAATTTTTTTTATTTTACTAATTACATGTTTAATAAATACTTTTCATTCTCACAATTCCATTAGCTTTAACTGTTTTTCATTCTCAATCAATTAAAGTTAATGGATAGTTATCGAACACAAGACCTAACAATTAAGGGCTTTGCATTTGTCATTTAACATGACACAATAAACTTTTCTACACACACAATATTTTGTGGGTCCACATTTTTTAAAAAAAAAAGAAAAAAAAGAATTTATGACACGCAAAACGAATCTCTATAACATTACACAATCACTTTTTTACAAGTAAAACTCAACAATTAATATCAGTTCGAGATGTGAGCTGAACAATAACAGATAGATAGATATTCAGATCGGTGAAAGACTCACCACAAATGCAAAGCACAATAGTTCCAATTAAATTAAGCACTCCGGGAAATAAATGAAATGGCCCTACAATATATAACGGGAGTAGATACTTCCTTATTATAAAAGGAAAAAAAATATAAAAGAAAATAATTATAAATGTAGAAATAAAATAAATTTATTATTTTTTTCCATATTTAATAAAGGATATATGGAGCGTTTGTTTACATTTTACCGAAAATATTTTCCTATTGAACACGACGAGACAACCTAAGGTTCTCCTGCAACGATGTCCATACTCCATAATGATATTTGTTATAAGCTTCTATTTTTCTTAGAAAAATTTAATGTAAATTATAATAAAAATGTTTAACACAAAAACATATCACTTATTGATAAATAATAATTGATAACATAATCTTCTTACTGTTATATCGATAACTAAAGAATATAATCTTTTGATTACTAAATAAAATCAATAAATGTTCATATTTGTTTTCTAATTTCATGAATCTAATTATAGTAAGAATGACAAATCAATTACCTTGAAGCACTAAGTGACAATAAATAATTATTCGTAAATCATTTCTCAATTTCATGTATTTAATATATATATATATATATATATATATATATATATATTTTGTTGGAATTTATATATATATATATATATATATATATATATATATAAATTATGTAGACACTCTATTGGTTATGAATAAGAAGTTTGGTAATGAAAGGGTGTGTCTTTTCGTCGACAAACAGATGTATCTTTTCATCCTAAAGGATGTGTTGTTTATCCGAACGGATGTGTTGTTTCATCTGAACGGGTGTGTTGTTTCATCCGAACAGATGTGTTGTTTTATCCTAATGGATGTGTTGTTTCATCCTAACAGACATGTTGTTTCATCCTTGAATGAGTGCCTTTTCGTGTTGAACGAATGTGTCTTTTCGTGTCCAACGGATGTGTTGTTTTGTCGTCGAATAGGTGCCTTTTGAAACGTGACCGGTCAGTGTCTATAAATAGACACTGACACCTTCATAAAATGGATCCAATTTTCTGCACTGAAACTCTGCCGAAATTTTTCTCCTTCCGGTTTTGCATATTCCTTTTCATACTCCGGTGTGATTTCCTCTGGCAATTGTTGTGTTCGTTTGGGCTGTTGATTGGTAGTGCCACTATTCTTCAGACGTAATCCGTTCTATCCTGGGAGACAAGTGTCCATCAACCTTAGGCATCAGTGAGGGGGCAAATTGTCTTAAGGAGACACGTTCTGTGGGCTCGGATTTAATTCCTCTACTTCTGACATATCATTCTATCTGTTCTATCATTCTGCTTGCATCATCATCTGATTTCAAGTAAGTCAGTTCTTTAATTTTAATATTTATAATTGCACAGTGATAATTCTGATCATCTACCTCCTCTGGTTCTATACATGGGTTCAAATCTCTTAGTGATATAATATCACCCACTGTCTTCAATAACATACATATATATATATATATATATATATATATATATATATAACTTCATTATTATTAAAAAAATATAATTAATTTATAATAATAAATTATTTGAAAAATAAACACTTACTAATAATTAGAAATAATTATATTGAATTTTCTTTTTAATTTTATGCATCCAATATTTTATTTATAACTATTATTTATTCCTAGGAACAAATAATAGTTTATTAACCATCTATACTCTTTTACAATTTTTTTAAAACATTTATCTATTAAATATTTTTTTGACATTTTTAATAAAAAAAAGTTTTTGTCGTTTCATTTAAAAAAAGTTTTATGTCATTGAGATTTGAGACATTAAATTTCCTTTAACTCTCCTTAACGTTAATTTTCAGTTTTTTTTTCTTACCTATGCATGGTCAATGTCCTTGTCCTATGTGAGTTACGGCTAGTTGACTCTGAAATCTCTCTGTACACGTTCCGTTCTTCTTCTGACACGCCATGTTTAATAAGTTACATATCACTTACATGCCAAACGCTATTTTTGAATTCACAGCCGAACGTGTGTCCCATTGTTAAGCATAAGATAAGAAAAGGTGGATTGTTTTCGTAGTGTAGTGTAGTACGACAAAAGCGTTTTTTTGTTTTATTAATTTTTTTTTTTTAACACTTTGTTGTACTGTACTACATTACTATTTTGAATTGTACTACTATGCATGGAGGATTCGGTGTTAGATGATTTAGCATCTACTTTTTCTTTTTTCGGAAATGGCAGACATAAATATCGATTGTACTACAAATCTTTGCTGGGTCGTGCAATCTCGTTAATTTTTTAGGTGGGTTTGTGAGATTCTTCTCATCTTTTCTCATTTGAGTTTCTATGACTCACCCAGTTGGTTGTTCATTGCATTCAAACCTGCAAGCACATCAAAACCCTTTCTTTGTAGGATTTTAATAGCATTTGGAGGTTTTAGATGCTTCATTTGGAGAACGTTGCTCGATGCTTCACTCTTCTTTCATCAAGAAGGAAAATTTTGAGGTATGATATTTGATGGGGTTTCATCCTTCACCGTCTATTACGTTACGTGGCATAAAATTAAAACCTCTTTTCTCTGACCATCTATACTATTACCTTACGTGGCAGCATAAAATTAAAGAACTTTTCTCTTGCAGGATGGGATTCTCATTAATTTTGTTACCATTTTAGATTTTAAAATATAGTATAATATCAGTTATCTTTATCAGAAAAGGAGAGTCAAATCTACACATACAAAAATTTGGATTAGAAACTCTCTCTTTGTAATTTGGATAAATGAAGTGTAAGAGTGGAGAGTTTTAGCTATCCTTGAATACTATTCTTTCCTTTCTAATAGTATCATTTTCTTTGAATATTGATTCACTTAGAGTGGTGAATTGATGCATCCAATGGGCACTACAAACAATGAAGAACTCATAGAGAATGAGAATTGTGACGGAGATGACATCGAAAAGGTTGGAGTTGAGCCAGAGGACGTGAGGAAAATAGCATCATGGGACAAACAGATCACAATTCGAGGACTAATAACTAGCTTCCTTATTGGTATCATTTATAGTGTGATTGTGATGAAGCTGAACCTCACAACTGGGCTAGTCCCTAATCTTAATGTTTCAGCTGCTCTCCTTGGATTTGTGTTCATTCGAGGTTGGACTAAGCTTCTTGAGAAAGCAAAGGTTGTTTCAACACCATTCACTAGACAGGAGAATACTATAATTCAGACTTGTGCTGTTGCATGCTATAGCACTGCTTTTGGAGGTGGGGTTTTTCTTCATTATCTCTGTTTACAGTTTAAATTGAATTCTTTAATTTGTGTTTGTATATACAAATGGTGAGGATGCTCCTCTGACCGGAAGGTCACAGATTCGAGTCTAGGAAACAGTCTTTTTTTGCAAAATTGTAAAGGTAAAGCTGTGCCCCTCACTTCTACCCTCGCAAGTTGAGGAGTTTTGCGTACTAGGCTTTGTCCTTATATAGTTAAATAAATAGCTGATAGAGTTTGTATATGTAAATTTTAAAATTTTACTTGTTTATTTGTAGGTGGTTTTGGGTCTCATCTCTTGGGTTTGAGTAGGAAGACATACGAGCAAGTAGGGGTTGATACAGAGGGGAATACTCCTGGTAGCACCAAAGAACCTGGAATTGGCTGGATGACAGGCTTTCTCTTTGTGACATACTTTGTTGGGTTATCGGTATTAATTCCTCTTAGAAAGGTATTTCCTATGAGTAACCTTCTACGATTTTCACTTTAATTGAATACATTTGGTCATTCAAAGGTTGTTATTCTTGAAGTTTATTAGTTTAATACATTAATGTAGAAGTGATGAAGATCTCAATTTCAGATGAATTTAGTTTGGATTAACTTGAATGGTGTTGCTGATGCAGCTTATGTTATTTGACAGTTGATGATAATAGACTATAAATTAACTTATCCAAGTGGAACTGCTACAGCCGTTCTTATTAATGGGTTCCATACTCCTAAAAGCGATGACATTGCCAAGTATGAATCCACTTTTGTTTTGTGTTGCATGTCACTTCTAGTCAAACATGGTGAATCTGTATATAATATAAAACTATTTTGGCATCTTTCACAGGAAGCAGGTTCATGGTTTCATGAAATTCTTTTCATTTAGTTTCCTTTGGTCTTTCTTCCAATGGTTCTATTCTGGTGGAGATCAATGTGGATTTATTCAATTCCCTACTTTTGGATTGACGGCATGGAAAAACTCGTGTGTGCTTTGATTTCATCTTTCTTCTACTATTATGAATCTAAACCATGATATAATTGTCCATTATTAAAATGTGTGAATTTTGCAGATTTTACTTTAACTTCAGCATGACTTATGTTGGAGCAGGAATGATTTGTTCCCATCTTGTCAACTTATCCTTGCTTCTTGGTGCCGTTCTCTCATGGGGCATTATGTGGCCATTGATAAGGGGACTAAAAGGACAATGGTTCCCTGAGAGTTTACCAGAGAGTAGTATGAAGAGTATTAATGGTTATAAGGTCTAAAATGAGCTCTACAATTTGAGGGGCTCTATCAGAGCAAATTTGATTTTAAGTTCTTTCATTTCAAGCCTTAACTTTCCTTCTTTTTTTCTTGATGCAGGTTTTTATTTCCATTGCCTTAATTCTTGGTGATGGGTTCTACAATTTTGTCAAAATTATGTATTTTACTGCCACAAATATCCATGCCAGCATGAAAAGGAGAAATCACAAAACAGGTAACTGGCCTCTTATCACTTTTCGAGTTCCTGTGTTATGTAAATCTCAAGATTAGTTTTGAGATGCTTACCAGTTACTGCTTCATTAATCCTATGTCATAAATAGAAGATGCTGTCATATCGACAGCACAAGTAATTGATATATTACCTATAAAATGAGTATGAACACTTGTTCTCTGGTATGCCCGGTGTGACTACTACTTTTTGAGGACAATGTGAGTATAAGGCAGAAGGGGAATTTGGACTGTAAAGGGCTGTAAGCCTGTAACAACCTTGGCTACATGGAAAGGAGTGTGAAAAAAAGAAGGGAATCTGTTACAAGTAAAGATTAAAGGGGAGAGAAGGATCTAGGAAATTTATGCAAGAATTAAGGTGGAAAAGTTTTGGGTGGGTTGGGATATTATGTGCATCTGCAGAATTCCATTGTTATCTTGTATCTTTTTTTCTGCATTTTCAGTCTTAATAGAGGGCTACCTCTGCATGTAAGGAGCTTAGCCTCCCTATTTTTTACTCCAATTCTATTCTATTTCTATGTATGCAATCAACTATAGCAATTCAGCCAGTAGTTATCTCTGCAACATTTTTTGATTGGAAGCTGTTTTGTGCATAAAATAAGCTAATTCAACAAATTCCCTTGAAGATATATACCACATTCAGTGTTTATCCAACCAAAAGTGGACCAAATTAAAAGAGTGTTTTATGATATCAACGAGTCTCACATTTCTTTGTGAAGTCTATTATTTTTCTGACTGCAGTTTCAATTTCAGGTAATCAAAAGCAGGCTGTTGATGATCTCAGACGCAATGATGAAGCATTTGTAAGAGAAAGCATCCCTATGTGGTTGGCATGTTCTGGTTACATACTGCTCTCCATCATTTCTATCATTGTCATCCCTTTTATGTTCCCTAAGGTGAAGTGGTATTATGTGGTGGTTGCCTATCTGCTTGCACCCTCTCTTGGCTTCTGTAATGCTTATGGTGCTGGCTTGACTGACATGAACATGGCTTATAACTATGGGAAAGTGGCTCTCTTTGTACTTGCAGCCTTAGCCGGGAAAAACGATGGTGTGGTTGCTGGACTTGTAGGGTGTGGTCTGATTAAGTCTCTTGTTTCAACCTCATCTGATTTGATGCAAGATTTCAAAACTGGTCATCTCACCTTTACTTCCCCTAGATCAATGCTTCTAACTCAAGCTATTGGGACAGCAATAGGTTGTGTTATTGCACCAATCACATTCTTTCTTTTTTACAAGGCTTTTGATGTGGGGAATCCAGATGGTGAATACAAAGCCCCATATGCCATCATATATAGAAACATGGCAATTCTTGGTGTTGAAGGCTTTTCTGCTCTCCCCCATCATTGCTTGCATTTCTGTTGTGGGTTTTTTATATTTGCTGTAGCATCCAACTTGGTGAGAGACCTTAACCCCAAAAACATTGGGAGATTGGTTCCACTTCCAATGGCAATGGCTGTACCCTTTGTAGTTGGTGCTTACTTTGCAATTGACATGTGTTTGGGTAGTTTGATTGTGTATGTATGGAACATGCTAAAAGGCAAGGAAGCTGGTTTCATGGTCCCAGCTGTTGCTTCTGGTTTGATGTGTGGAGATGGTTTGTGGATCCTCCCCTCATCTATTCTTGCTTTGTTCAAGGTTCGTCCTCCAATCTGCTTGACGTTTTTGGCAGCCAAGTAGAAGTTCAATTGTAGAATTTAGAGGAAATAGTTTTAGTCAAGTTACTTGTTATGGTTGTAATGTTTGCAATTAGTTCATAAATATACAGCATTTAAAACTATTTCAGTAATGGAAATACTGTCATGATTTTCATTTAAATTTTAAATTTACATATATCTGTTTGGATCCTCTTTATTTTAAGTTAGAAGTTACTTATAAGTTAAAACTAAAAAAAAAAAGAGCTTAAAGAAAAAAGCTACAAGCTGTTTAGTGATTGCCTAAATTTTTTAGCTTATAAGTTATTTAAAAACACATATTTCAAGAAAATACACTCTCCCTCTATCTCTATTAACTCTTTATTTCAAAAAAAAAAGCACACAATTTAAGAAAATTTGATAAGAGCTTAAAAAAAAAACTCCTCTTAAGAGCTTTTGACTTTTAGTTTTTTTTTTTTTTCATTATAATTTTTTTTTTTTTCATTATAAGAGTTTTTTTCAAAATCTGTTTGACTTAACTTCTACTTATAAGTAGCTTCTAATTAAAAAAAAAAAGGATCGTACTTATAGTAAACTAGTAATAGAAATCTAAGTGTAGTCGAATGCACTTGTGATTTGACAAAATATGAATGAAATCAGCTGATATAATTTAGTAACAAAATATGAATGCACCATGTCATGTTTGTCCCCTGTCTCAACTACAAATTCCAATTAATTTATTAACAAAATAATTCTAGAACTCATGCAAATATATTTTAATGCATCCATAATATTATAACCTGCCCTCTGCCGATACAAGGCACTAGCCAATGCAGCATTCTCGAAAACTTATAACAGTCTCGCTATAGCTTTATGAATGCCAGATTGATCCTAGAAGCTTTTTTTTACTTAGTATGTTATGAGGTAGTAAATCATTTCAAGTTAAAATTTTACATGATTTAAAGTTATATGAAAATTTTGTATTTCTGTATTTTTTATAGGCATGAGATCCAATTAAAATTTATGTAGAGATAAATGCACAAAGTTAGGACATGTTAAATTTTAACATAAGGGGACGATTATACTTACCACTATTTTAGTCTTACTACTCTTACCATTTGTTTGGTTATTATTGGATTAATTTGAAATTAACAACAGTTAATTTTTTTTTGTCTTTTTCAACCGTTGATTTCAAATTAATCCAACAATAACCAAAATGTAGTAAGAGTGACAATGCTAAAAAGAAATCATAATCGTTCAAAGGTGAATCAATTAATATAAGGAAATAAATAAATAAAACGACGTAGTTTTGGGGTGGTCGGAGATAAACTTATCTCAAGCTGCTTGAGAAATGTTTTTCCATATATATATATTTCTACAACAACTTCAGATAAGCTTATGTACAGCTGTCATATTTAACTATATTCTCTCGGGAGAATATCCTTTTATTTTTTAACACTATGTCTTACCGGTAAGACATAGTTATAACATGAAAAATAGTTTTTTCTCTCTCCACGTCAGCTGAAGTGACTGAGGAAATATAATTTTTTTTCCATATTATAACTATGTTTTACATGTAAAATATAGTGTCAAAAATTAAAAGGATACAATCTTGTGTCCTTTCAAAGGACAACCCATTTTTTCGACTTTTAAATGTGTTTATTTGGTTTAGTTGGGCCCATATTTTGAAATAGGTCAACAAATCATTTTTGTGATTAAGTTTAGAAGTCTTCTTTTTTAAAATAATAGGAGTAAGAATAAATAACATAACTGATTAGGCACCTGCTGGCTTGGATGTGGTTATGCCACTGCATGGAACCCATATGTTTATTACGTGTGTAGAAGAAAAATTCTTATTACATGACATGAGAAGTAGGGATGTTCATCAACCGATTCAAACCGCGGTAACCGAAAATCGAATAAACCGAAAACCAAAAAATCGAAAACCGAAAAAAAACCGCAAATTTTAATTGGATTGGATCGATTTTTGGATGGGTTGATGAAAACTGATTCAATCCAAACCGATCCAATATATTAATTCCCCTCTACATACTTGGGTCTTTCCCTAATCATAACCTAAAAATTTCTAAACCCAAGACCCATTAACTAAACCCAAGAAAAAATTTAATCACATCTCATCAACAAAATTTTATCTTTGTAGAGCTTCATATCTCATTGTCTAAAAAAAAAACTATATTATAGTTTACTAATGTTTTTGTATTTCAAAAAATAATAATTTACAAAGAGAATATACACAAAAGATGTTATTTGCACAATAATCATGAAATAAATTTTAGGATTTTCAAAAAATCGAAAACCGATCCAATCCAAACCGAAAAAAATTGGATCGGATCGGGTTTGAAAAAAAATCCAAACCGAATGGATGATTTTATGATCAAACAGAAAGGATTGGATCAGATGATTTTTGCTTCCAAAATCGATCCAATCCAGACCGCAAACACCCCTAATGAGAAGTTTTTTTTTGGTAAACTCCTAATGAGAAGTTTTAAATCCAATTAAAAATTACAAAATGATATAATTGAGAAGCATTGTTTTAGTTTTAATTAATGGTTATATTTATCACATTTTACATGAAAGAAACAATTTTTCTATGCATACAAAAGAGGGGTGGGTCGTCCCATAGCCGGCTCAAAGAGTCGAAGCTTGTGGGGATACCGGAGGGAGCCAACTCGTCTCAAAGAGATAATTAGGGTTGGGTAACTCCAAAAAAAAAAAAGAAGGGTGGGTCCAACCACTCTTTTTTTTTTCTCCTCTTAGCTGTAGATCCCACTTATAATTTTATTTCACTAATTAAACTTGTAAAAAGGAAAAAGTAATAAGTATAATCTTTTTAAAAAGAAAAAAATTTAAAATAAAGAACATATAACCACCACGTTGTCCTTAGTCTGGTTTGGCACGTGACGGTGTTCACCAGACAAGGCAACATTTGAAAGCGCGCAACGTTATCAGAAATTCAAATTGATTCTCCTCTGCTCACTTTCCCTCTCTTGCTCAGAAGTCAGATCCATCTTCTCTTCATTTCCAGCGAACCCTAAACCACCGAAATTTCCTTTCTTTTTCTTTTCTTCTTCTTCTTTTCTTCCTCCAAAATCGACACTAACGAGTCGATTTGGGTTTTGACTTTGTATGCATTAGTATGGACGAAGAATGCAACTCGGGAATTGCATCGGAACAATCTTTGTTGACTTTACAATCGGATTCCAAGGTTGGTTTTTTCTCTGCTTCTTGAATTATTTTTCTGAAATCTGAATCACTTCTTTCTCCCTTTCTTGGTTTTTCTTTCTTTCTAGTCCTTCATTCCGGTTATGTGCTTCAGAATGTAGGAGAGAAATGGGGAAGCACCCATTTGGGGGATAAGCACGATTTCTCACGAAAACGTGTCAGAATGAGAAATTTTGAATCCGGGGTTCGCTCGAAAACGGGTAATTTATCTTCAATTTGGTAGAAGCTTGATTTGTTCTGCTAAGAATTGAATTTTTTATGTAAAAATTGGATTTTGATTTTACATATACATGCTTGTAAAGGTTCAATATTGTATTTCTAGCCTTTTCAACCCGTAGAGCTTGTAAATGATATTTCAAATTATTAAATTGTTCTTTTCTTATGGGTTTTATTTTTGTATCAAATGTTATTAGCAATTGCAACAGAAGCTATTACCCATAATTCAGAGTTTGGAAACGACAAAGAAAATAATGTTCAGTTGTTGTTTGATAATAAAGAGGTGTCACAAATCACCATTGGTGCCTCTCAAGAAGAGCAAACTGGAAAGAACACATTCTCAGCGGAGGTTAATCTTGTCCCTAGGCCTCTGGATCTTAATATTGAAGCTTGCGGAGCCAGAGATTCATCTCTAGATAAAAGTGGTGGGTACGTTGAGAATCTCACTAAGGTACACTTTAATGAGAAGAAAGAAAGAGGAGAACAACATAGTAATTTTGTAAAACCAAGAGGAATTAATGTTGATCTCAATGCAGAAGATGTTAGTAGCTCTATAAATCTCGAACCAGGAAATTCTCACAAAAGACATGGTCGTTTTAAGTCAAACGATGTTTCTGAAAGTGGAAGCTGTACTGGACCTATAGAAGAAAAAGACCCAATGAGAATATGGAAGGAGATGAAGCAAAATGGTTTTGTTTCATCCTCTCATGGAGGCATTCCAATGCCAAAACAACGTGGTAGAAAAAGTAAAGATGATATCCTCAAACAAAAGATGGAACTTGCAAAGAAAGAGGAGATAGACAAATTTACAAAGATGGCTGCTCCTAGTGGACTACTGAATGGATTAAACCCTGGAATTATTAATCATGTAAGAAATAAAAAACAGGTCCATGCAATTATTCAGGCTCTTGTAAAGTGTAAAAAGAGTGAAAATAGCAGCAAGGGAAGCAAGCAAGCAGCACATCAAATGAATAGAAGTGCAGAAGTTAGCAAAAGGGACATAGAATCTAAGACCAGTGTAGGTAAACATCAGCCTACCTTTACTCGTGAAGAAGAGACCGTTTATAGGTCTTTAGAGAGCACACAAGTAGGAAAACGTCCTATGACAATGAATGACTCCTCTTTGATTTCGGAGGGTAAAGTTTGTGATCGTGACAAATGCACTGTGGAGAAAGCTAGTCTTAAAAGTTGTTCTGTACCGCACTTAAGTCATGCCACAGATGATGATATTTTAGCTCTGAAATTGTCTTCTTCGACGAAGGCATCAATGAGTTCTACCACTTTGTCAAATGAGGAATCATCGAACTTCACTATGGAATCATCGAACTTCACTATGGTTTCATCTCTTTCCTTAAAAGGTTCGTGCTCATTTTCGTCATGCTTATGCTTCTTTATTATTATTATTTTTTCAGTTTTATTTGTTTGTCTTCTTTTATGCTTCTCTTTAAAGCATTTCATGTAATGCATAGATAATGGAAGGGACCATTTTTTTTTTCGGTGGGGCCGGGGTTTGAAATTTAGTAATGAACTGATGAAAAAGGGTAACTTGGTACTATAAAGTTCTCGCATTGCGCAGGGTCCAGAGAG